GTGCTGCCCGCTTTCTCAGAGCCCCCTCTGGGTTAGGGAGCCCTTCTTTCCTGCTCCCAGGAACACCCCGATTTCGCTTCTATCGTGGCATTTAATACACCTCAACGACATTCCCAGATTCTGTGGTCTTTCTGTCCCTGGATCTCATCCATCAGTCTGTCTACCTTCTCCTGCGCTATGGCTACTGGTCCACAGGCTTCTTGTAGACAAAGCCATCTTCCGGTCACCATGGTATCCCCAGTTCGCAGCTCGGTGCCTGGTGCATGGCGGGGCTGGGACAATGCTTCTTGAATTGGAATGCATGGGTTCAATCCCATACTCTCTTGTCCTCATTATCCTACAAACTGTAGGGTGCACCTCTTCCCAACTGATCCCCCCACCCCACCCCACCTCTGCATTCTCAAATCTGTGCGGATCATAGATGGAAATAATTCTGACTCCCTCTCGGTCCCCTTGGTCATTGTCCTAATCTTGACCCTGAATTTCTCAAATAAGTCCGTATTTCATTTGATGACGTCCATTGCAAAGTTCAGTCAGCAAATATCGAGCCATCAAGTGTGAAAACACCTGCTAACCACATTAAATTCTGAGGATGAAAACCAGCAAAAGCAAAAGTCTCCTGTGTTCTCACCCTGGTCCTTAAACTAACATTCACATGAACTTTTAAATCATTGCTGGGGGAGGGGGACATGGGGGGAGGAAGGGGGTGGAGCCACAACTTTGAGCCAAAAGTCCTGCATCTTTTGCACAGGGATTCGCTAGTCTTATGATTCTGAGAGCCACCTTGAGGGTGGGAGCATGGAAAAGGAGAAGTTCAAAGGAGTGGATTTGTTGAGCATGGCTAACTGCATCTAGATCAGTTCAGTTGCATTTCGCCCGTGGAATTTCTAGCAAGAGTTTATTTGAAACAAAGTTTGAAGATTACGGGTAATTTGAAAACCAACTCAATTAGTTGGCCTTTCCCCCAAACGAGTCTATGATCAGAGTTTCCTACACTTCGACCAGAACCACCATTACATGAAAATGTCAAACCAGATGTTTATTGACTCTTATTATGGGTTCTTCCAACCAATGGAGGATTGGCCACCGTGCTGCTTTGGTCCTTTTCCTACTCTGATTTTGGATCCCTGGATGGCTCACCCCTGTATGGAGCTGGGAGCCTGATGTGAACGAGGACACTCACCTGCACCAGGAGCAGTCTCCCCAGGAAGCCATCCAGTCGCACAAAGACCAAGGAAGACTGGAAATCCCACTCCTTGACTTCCTGGTTCTCTTTGAAGTAAGTATGGAGATTCTCTCTTCTGTCCTGAAACATCTGCTTGAAGAAGTTCAAGGTGTCCACGGCCACTTGCAGTTTTCTCTGACTTTCTTCCACCTCACTTCTCAGGAGGCCTTCTGGGTTGAGATAATTAGAAGCCTGGAACGCAAACAGATGGTTGTCGCGGAGTCTGAACGCGGTGCAGGACACCCTACAGTTTTTGTCCATGTCCCAACTCTGATCTCAATAACCGCCCGCCATACTTTCCAGAAGCATGCTGTAGGAAACCTCTGACCCCATCCTCAGTTCTACCAGTGGACTGGCGCCTGGGCTCAAGCCAAACCGTCCACGATTGGCTCAGGGACAGACGGGCGCGTAAAGGAGCCATGGCGAACTTCTGTTGGGCCAGCTTGGGCTGGGGAAGGTGCTCTTTCCTGGGGGATTCTCTCATGACTAGTTGGCTTTCTACAGTAAAGTAATTCAAAAGCAAGAATTCTTTGAACCATAAGTATTCCCCTGTCTCCAAGAGGCTCGATCCTGTACAGCTGTGATGCTTAAGCTGTATGACAGCTGCCTTTGCCACCACAGGGCGTGTCAAAAATAACCTCGTCCTGGTGATGTTATCTTAGCCTTCCTGTCGGCCAGGGCTGGAGCTAGCCTTATCTTGGGCCTTTGAAGTACACAAACCAGTAAGTCATGCTAGTTGTTTTGTTGAGGCTGGTTTGGATTGGGCTTTCTTATACTTTCAACCGGAAAAGTCTTACAAAAATGCTGTGATGGAAGGGTGCTGACCTTGGAGCCAAACAACTGACTTCCAGTCCTGGATTGGGGGACCTTTGGCGACTCAGTTGACCTCCTCGAGCCTTAGCTCACATCTTTAAATATTAATAAGAAATTAATAAGGCTCTCCCTGCCCATCTCACAGGGTCCATCCGAAAATGGCCAAGGTCTTGGATGTCACAGCACTGGTAGGCTGCAACGTTCTCCGTAGATGTTAGTTGTTACGAGTTACTCTTTATATATGTTCATTAGAGGTAAAAGAAGCCTATTTTGGAGACAGATCCCCGAAGCCTCATTAAGGCCCCTTGTTCTGTTGACACACAGACTCCTGAGGTTTATGCTGTGCTGGCTGGTGTTCCAAGAGGCCCTGAGGAGGAGGAGTATGGACTATGTGGTCCAAGAAGCTGTTTCTCTGTAGCTCACAGGACCTGAGTTCATAGCACGTGCAGGGCATGAGCATGTGGGATGTGGCCAGCTGGCCACCCTTTGAGACAGGTCCTCTGCTTTTTCCCATTGCACAGTGGGGAACGTGAGGCACAGAGCAGATACGTCACTTGCCCAGGCACACACGGCTAACAAGTGGTGACTCAGAATTAGGCACAAGGACGCCTGGCTCTCGGGGCAGCATTCTTAAGTGTTGGGCTTCCCTGTTGACCCTGGGCACTGATCACTAAGGAGGTCAAGACTCACCACACCCACCCTGTGCCTGACCCCGGGACTTGGGCAGAGGGGAAAGGAAGACCAGTCCTCCCAAGGATTCTAGCACTACTGAGAACACCTTTGGGAGTTACTGGCGGTGACAGTAACACAATTTAAGTGTGAGACTCCTCCGGACTTGAATGATTTCCCTGCCCTGAAGGAAAAGTGCCCTCTCCTCTTCCCT